TGACGCTGTCCATCATGTCAGGAGTGGAATAAGGATGTAAAAGCAGGCAGTTCCCAGCAGTTGCTGTGCATAGGGAAAGACCAGACATGAGACTACAGTTCCCAAGGGAGAATCCTGGGAGCTTTCAGGGGAACTGCCCTCAGGGAGGCCATTCACCAACGCCCTCTCCCGCCCTTCCCCCCACCTACAAGGAGACAATAACCCTGGTATAGTTTGGCAAGTTTCCCCTTCAAACACAAGTGGACTATTTGACTTAACTTGTATCACCAAGACCCCTATTTAGGCAAACGGGGCGGGGGAGAGAGAGGTTTTTTCAGTATCCGTACAATCCATCAGCATCCTGAGAATTGTGACACAGCCACTATACCACGCACAAAAAGGTGTGCATCCGTTATCCTAGGCTCCTTTGACAAAATTTAGAGACAATTCCATTAAAACCCAGCAGTTATCCCACAATAAAACCCACCCTAAACCCAATCAAATAATGCTCCCGCACCAAACCAAAACTTTTCCCAACACTTCCGTGTTCTTGGAGCAGCTTTCTCACTCTCCAAAGGCCTTTGTGAAATGTTAGGCCTTCATTGCATCAGCAGCCATTGAGTCTCTTAACTGTGCGCTGTTGCCAACGTGCCAGTGAAAATCAGGGCTTGGGAGTAAGAACTCGTGGGTTTCATTCTGAATTCTGCCACTGACTCAATGTGTGACTTGGGGCAAGACAATTAAGGCCTAAAAGTGAGATTTTTTTCAAGAGCTCTCAGTGTTAGCCCAACTGTGCTCCAGGCAGTTAAGGCAACAGTGAAAAATCCCAATGTAAAGGTCCATCTTTTCTGTGCTTCAGTTTGTTCATCTTTTTAAAAGAGTATAGTAATTTGAGCTAGTTAAAATGTTTTTGTCAGAAACTGTTAATTAATGAAAACAGGAACTGTTTGCAGGAGAGAGTTGGTTTCCATAATCTCCCAAACTGAAAAACAAAAAAAAATTTGAAAATGTTTTCGAAGTTGTTGAAACATGTTGTTTTGACATTTTCGAAATGAAAAGTTTCATTTTCTGGTTCAAAAAGACTTCCCTCCACCCCCATAATTTCACTTATACAACATCCTTTTCTCTGTAACCATGGCAGCAGCAGCAGCTGTTGCATTGTGTGACTACGACCTATGCAGCCTTTCTTAATGAAATAGAAGAATTTAATATTGGAAAAATATATTTAAAATGTAAAATTTTTAAAATACATTTCAAATAAATGAAATGACTTTGAACATGTTTACTGCCTTTTCTATTTCTGTTATTTATTATAATAAATGGAGAGATGAAGGAAAAGATGTAACTGGAGAAGGCTATGGGCACCGAGGAAAAGAGGCAATTGTAATTTTAAACACACTGTCAAACAACTTGGCTTTTAATGCTGCTTCTTTCTCTTCTCAATGATTGCCTACACCATTTATTATCTGGATGACTATCTGAAGATGGAAGTAAAAACAGGAGGCAGAACATTGCAATAGCTAACTGACATGCAACTTTCTATTATTGCTCATTCATGACATTTTAGGACTCTCACCCATATTAACCCTTTAAAAAATCTATTGTACTCATTTAAAACCTGATTCTGCAAACTCTTATTCATATGAGTTGCCTTTATTTAAGCAGATAGTCCTACTGTCTTCCAGAGGTTACTTATTTGAGTAAGATTTGTAGGATGGACTATGATGTTACACAAAACTACAGTAGAGTTGCACCTTTTTACACAACATCTGAATTTGACCCATGGTTTGGAAACAAGGGCTAAGGACCATATATATTGTAAGCTTAGTATTTGCAAAGAAGGCCATTAGAATACAGCAGTATGCGGTAGCTAAGAGTGCACACTGGATTTTCCTGTCTTTACTTAAAAGCAAAGATAGATGTGAACTAGTTTTGAAGCTTGAGCCAAACACAGAGTGTAATACCACAGAAATAATAAAGACACGTCACAAACAACTGTACTAAAGTCCAACATTTAACAAAGCAAAAAGTAAAATAAATAAATGTACCCAGAGAGAAGTAAAAGGGGGGAAAAAAGAAAAGGCACAGGGAAACAGACAGTGAACCATAAGATGGAGAACAGTTACCATACTATGGTACTGAGACTAAGGTCTCAGTAAAACAGGATGTTGCAGAAAGCTAATACACGTGCAGGTTTCAGAGTAGCAGCCGTGTTAGTCTGTATCCGCAAAAAGAACAGGAGTACTTGTATCAGAGGGGTAGCCGTGTTAGTCTGAATCTGTAAAAAGCAACAGAGGGTCCTGTGGCACCTTTGAGACTAACAGAAGTACTGGGAGCATAAGCTTTCGTGGGTCAGAACCTCACTTCTTCAGATGCAAGACCTCCTCAGCCTTCTAGAAGTGGGCTGTAGTCCACGAAAGCTTATGCTCTAATAAATTTGTTAGTCTCTAAGGTGCCACAAGTACTCCTGTTCTTTTTGCGACTACACTTGCAATCACTCCTGACATCTTGTAATAGCCACTCAAAAGGCCATTGACAATGTGCAGTTAGAATGCAGGGCTGGCCTTAGAGGTGGGTAATCAGGGTAGTCACCAAATTGCTCAGCTGTCTTTTGTTTGTGTTGTGTTTTTACTCAGCCACTCAGTGGGCACTAAAAACATTTTCCACCCTGAGGCTAAAACACGAAGGGCCAGTGTGAGGTCACTGGAGCAAATGTTTTAGAAATAGATCCAAATTGTGCATATTGAGTAATAATTTTGAACATTTATCTATTGTATATATTTTTGTTAGTGGTGATATAAAATATATAGTAAGAGAAATGGGGGCTGCACTTTTAAGAATGGGATGGGGGAACACTGAGTGAGCTAATTCAGCGTAGAACGTTCGGTGTATGTGTTACTGCTGCAAGCGGAGGCTGGCCTGTAGCTGGGCACTGAGGAGGTCTCTGTCTGCAAGAAGGTCTTAGAGCAGAAGGTTTGAGTTCCCAGAATAAACAGTGTTCTCTTTGAAACACAGGCAGAGCCTTGTGATTAAGAGTGCAACACCAGGTTTGGTAACGTACCTCTCAAATGCCGGAGTGGCCTCAGACATAGTACAGGTTGATCGGTCCATTGCTGATATACAGGGCTATGTGGAGAAAGATCATTCTGTTTCCTGGAGGATTTCAATATGTTGAATTTGTTTTTTATTCCAGTTCAGAACTAAACCCCCCAAATTCATAATTCTCTGCAGAAAGGAAAGCCTGAGGGTCTCCAGATCAGAGACCATCTGCATGGATGGCTGCCTGGAAGCTGCGGACTCTGAGAACCCTGGCGTTCCTAGCCCCAGTATAGTTCACCTTGCTGGCTGACCCCAAGCTGTGGATCCTGTAAGCCCAGGCGCCTCAGCCGTGCAGCTGGTGAGCTGGCAGGAAAGGCGGCAGGTTTCCAAAGCTGTCTCATTTCCAGACAAATTTCACTGAAATTGAACCATCTCTACAGATTGTTTTGATTTCGACAAATTGGCAAATTCCAAAGACAATCTGTTTTGTCAATTTTTTTTTTTTTTGTACCAGCTCTACTGATATAACTTTTCCCAGGGTAGTCTCCTCTTTCCATCATTTGCCATTTCACCTGTCAGAAAAACAACCCAGTAAACCCCATCCTATAGAGAGGCATGTCAATCTTCCTATTTGCAGAGCTGGTATTGGGATGGAGCTTGTAGCTGTGGTCCACTTCTGAGGCCTCTAGGGTGACCAGATAGCAAGTGTGAAAAATTGGGACAGAAGGAGGGAGGTAAAAGGCACCTATGTAAGAAAAAAGCCCCAAATATCTGGACTGTCCCTATAAAATCGGGGCATCTGGTCACCCTAGAGGCCTCACACTGACCACCTGAGCCCATGCCCCTCACCCTCTTCAGGTTTCCACTTGGTGATGTTGCCAGAAGTCAGGTTGCCTTTCTTTTTCAAAAATCCAAGTAGGATCACTCCTCAACCAGCCACCCAATGCACCAACAGTTGGGAAATAGACGGTGTCACCTGATGATGTGCTGGATTATAGAGGAGCTCCTTGTTACATTTTTAACAGCCCCTTATTGATTTAGTGCTACTGAAGGAATCTAGAATTTGAATCTCTAGAGTAAATTAATAGAGACCGTTTTAGTGGAGGCCTGATTTATCTGGGCAGAAACAAATCTGTTTACATTGTGATGCCTACATATTGGCCACTGGAAGACTTCCCCCCCCTCCTCCCCCTTTAAATGAAAGGTTGAAATTTGCAGCATTTTGCATCATGCTACACTACTTTGGCGAGACTAAAAAAAGTAAGAGCAACATTTTTTTTTTCTGAACCAGCATTTCTCCCCCCAGTTTTCAATATTAACTGTCAGTTTATATATCAACTCCTAAGTGCACATAGTATAACCCTCTTAATATATAAGCAAAAATGAAGTCTAATTTTCAGAATGAAGGGATTATTTTTATCTACTCCAGTTATTTAAAATATGACATATAATTGACAAGGCCCCAATTAAACTATGTGCATAAGCATTTGACTAACTTCTACAGGACTGCTCATGTGCTTAAGGTTAGCCATGTGCTTCCATACCTTGTTGAATCAGGGCCTAAGTGATGTAGTTACAATACAATACTTTGCAAAATTTAGATGGATTTTAGGTTGATATTGTCAGATCAATTCATTTCATGTGCTGTATAATTTATGTTTAAATGAGAGCTTATTTTTGCCATTATGCTTGGAGGTAAATGTGGGGAAACAGAGTTAAATCACTTTGTTTTTCTTTTCTTCTTTTTTTAATATAGAAGCTACTGTGTTGTGGTGTCAAAGCTTTTTGTTAATAGTCACCTTTGTTTCTCTGTTTCCTCAGCTTTCTCTGTTAGAAGAGGCGGGGTTTGGAGGCGTCCTTCTTTATGTTGATCCTTGTGATTTACCAAAGACTCAAAACCTTAGTGATAAAGCATTCATGGTTTCCCTAAACAATGGAGGAGACCCATCGACACCTGGTTATCCCAGTATTGGTAAGTACTATTCTAGGTCTGTCCAGTTAAATGGCATTTTAAATTTGATTGTAAATAATACATGAGCTGAAACAATAAGCCCAGTCCTGATCTCAGGCACAAACCCTGAGTGAAAGGGCTTTGCACAGAGGAGCAATATGGTTGAAGGGATAGAATCCACTCTCATAACCTAGATGTAGGCTATAGAATTGTGTAACTGGCCTCCAAAGGCTACTGCAGACTCTTGGTAGGAGTAGGTGGATTACACACCTCCTTATGCTGGCTTTTGTCAGTACATTCACACTCCACCATTAACCCTTGTAGAGAGCCACTGTACAACAATTCTCTTCACAGTTCAAAGGTTTGTGTTGAATTGGGCCCTCCAGGAACTGTCCCCCACTAATGAGGCAATTTCCATTACATACTGGGCTTTGTGCTGGCATGTTGTGCGTGGTGGGGGCATTTGACTTTAGATGTAAGTGCAGTGTAATCAGAAAAGGTTATAGCAATGATCTCTTGTACAATCTTTGCCAATAACACTTTCATATGATATACGTTCTACTTGCCTAGTTTCAATTCTACCAGAACGGACCTGGTCATTTCATCTAATGAACTTTTGCTTTGTTAAGTGATAGGAGGGCAAATGCATTTTTTGAAATATCTGAAATAAAAAAAAGATGTTAATTAAACATAAATGTTAGTGTGCCACAACAATGGTTTTGAAAATAATTTCTACCTGCAGCATATCAGACTATACGTTCTATTTAAAATCTTTGTTCTAGCAGTTCAGTGAACTTGTGTTCTGCCTGTCTGCTATCTTTTCTGCTTTACAACCTCCTTTAATATCTAGCTAGATGGAAAAAGTATTAAGAATCATGCTATGAGTTTGTGGCAAGGCTTCATCAAGAATATTTGGTCCAGTTACTAACACAGACATCTTAAGGCTGACTCGAATTGGCACTAAATCAACTGAGGCAATGCTGAGATGCTTCATGACTAGAATGGCAGAAAATAGAAATATTGGCCTAGTTGTCAGAGAAGGGTGTTAGCTATTCACATCATGAAATGCCTTGACAGCTCAATGGGAAAGGAATTGCACATTTTCTCAGTCTCTCACTATACCTGACCTAGAACTGCCATGGGAACTACAGAAGTAAATGTAGCACTCTTTGAGCTTTATTCTTAATCATTTTGTGAAGAGTGGTCTGTTTATCAGTCTGGCTGACTGCATAACATTTCATTTACGCTACATGAAAAATAAAGTTAATTACAACTGATACGCTGATAGTAGGATGCCGGGTTATTGTCTTAGGCCTGGTCCCCACTAAGCCCCCACTTCGGACTAAGGTACGCAAATTCAGCTACGTTAATAACATAGCTGAATTCGAAGTACCTTAGTCCGAACTTCCCACGGGTCCAGACGCGGCAGGGAGGCTCCCCCGTCTATGCCGCGTACTCCTCTTGCCGAGCTGGAGTACCGGCGTCGACGGCGAGCACTTCTGGGATCGATCCCAGAACATCGATTGTCTGCCGCCAGACCCTCCGGTAAGTGAAGACGTACTCTAAACCTTGTTTGTTGTTTTGCTGACAGTTACACCAAATCCTCTTTTGGGTTGTGTAGATTCCAATCTCTAGTTTCAGGGGGGAAATACAAGAAAAGAAGCTGATAACCTTAACAGAGGAACAGAGAGAATTAAGTAGGTTGATGATTTGTGCTAGAACCTTAAGTATCTTGCACCTGTTTTTAAGTCTCTAAACAACATTCATCAGCAGCAATAGGCTATCATGTGTCTAAAGTATTTGTGATAATCTGGATGCAATGATAAACTGAAGGGATTCTGAGGAGAACTCTTGGGATCCTCTTGTTAAAAGCTGTGTCACCAAGTGGTGGAGCAAGTTGGAATGGTTTCTCTGTCTCTGATGGTTTTCACACTTCTCTGAAGACCAATAAATCACCCTGGCCAGAATTAACTTGTGTCTGGGCTGTATACAAATAAGTCTGAAAAGCACATGTTTTACCTTTGTAATATCACATGTCCGGTATTTAAAATAAAATCTTGGGGACAAATAGGATTGTCCAGATGCTTATCCCTCTTCCCTGCAAGCACAGCACATACCCCCTGGTAAATTGAGTTTATCACAGACTACAGGCAGGGATTTTTATGGATGCCCATGCTTAAAATATTGGCAGCACATCATTGTCTGCAGGATACCATCTGCACTTTATCCATTGCCAAGGGGAGAGTGTAAACTGTTACCATTACTGTCTTGGGATAAGTGTAATCTGTAACACACATGAGATAGATCAGAAAAGGAATGGTCTTTGGTGAAAACTTCAAAATCTGTAAAGGAAAAAGAGGATGGGGATTTTAATGTAATTTGTAACTGAAAACTGATGAATCTTACAGCACATTTTATCCCGTTTTAGTAGGAAACCTGTAGACGTATGAGTGATCCAAAGGTAATCATTGTTTAAGCAAATCTTTGCACGCTACACCCGTCACTGTACTAAATGACGTGGGTGCAAAGTTAATAAATGTCCTAATAAGACCTACATAATATGTACAGTGTCCAACCTCTTTCTATTTATAGTGAATCTTCTTTTCTTACCCCCAAAATAAATTTCTTCATGGCCTCAGAATTAGAGCTGAATGAATACTTTGTTTTTTAATTATTAATTATTATTATTATTATTATTTAGAGGCTGAACTGAAAAAAATGGTGGGTTTTAAATTGAAACTGAATTTTCTTTTTTTTAAATTTATTTTATTATATATATATATATATATATATATATTGCCAAAAGGATCAAATGAAACATTCCGTTAGGTCCAAAAAATCATTTTTTTTTCATTTCAGATCATTTTGGGGGGTTTCCCAACTCTCTCCCACTGTGTGTGTGTGTGGTTTTAAAAAATATTAGCTAAATTTCTAAATGAAATACTGTTTTGAAACAAAAAATTTGAAATATTTTGTTTTGAAATGGCGTAAAGTAATCCTTTTGCAGGGCAGGCACCAGCTCAGCAAGCAGGTGCTTGGGCGGCCGAGGGGAAGGGGCGGCACATCCGGGTCTTCGGCGGCAAGTCGGCGGCGGGTCCCTCAGTCCCTCTCGGAGGGAAGGACCTGCCGCCGAAGTGCTGCCGAAGAAGAAAACGGAGCGGTGGAGCTGCCGCTGAAGTGCCGCTGATCGTGATCACGGTCCCCCCCTTTCCCCCCGCCGCCGCTTGGGGCGGCAAAAACCCTGGAGCCGGCCCTGTCCTTTTGACCTGTTTATAAACCAAAACTGCTCACCAAATTTGGACCGAATTTGTGAAAAGTTTCAGTGTTCCAAAAGTACATTTTTGATGAGTTTACTATTGGTGGGGAGGAAAGTTGTCCCAGCTCTACCCAGAATATTACAGTGGTTACTTTTTCCCACCATCATTTTTTGGAGGTTCAATCACACTTTTAATAGGATTTATGTAATTGATTATACTAGACTGCTGGGCTCTCAAAAAATTCCAATTCAAATCCTGCTCTTTTATGAAGATGGAGACAAAATGCAGAGCTTCAGTATGTGGTTACTTTAGGATGTACCAATAATGATATGCTGGGTGAGGGGTGAATGTGCCTCATACCTGTAAGTGGCACAATCCCTTTATCTGTCTGTAAAGGGCAACCAACACACCTTGGCAAGGAGTCGTCCAGGTGCTCCTCTATAAAGATAGCTACTGCCTTGTTTGCATCTTTTGGGCCCTTTACTAGGTCCTTAGCTTCTAATTTGACATTGTTAATGTTGGTTCTGCTGCTTCTCCACTATGACAGCCATGGGATAATCCTCTGGGCCTTTGTCAGCCTCTGTCCTCTCTGCCTGGTTTTGATTTTCAAGGACAGTCTCTTTCTCAGGAATCTTTCTTTGAGTCTACATTGTGTCACTCTTGAATTTGAGGGGTTCAGTGCTCGGCACTCGGATTTAGGAATCGGGGGCTAAGGAGCCCTGCAGTGGAAGAAACATGAGATCTAGGGAGCTGTGAGGGCTCTGGGGACATCAATAGGCAGGAGCGGGACCATAGAAAAGTGCATTACAGAGAAGCATGATGAGTTTCCCTTCTCATTTTTTGCATTTTGACTTTTTGAATGCTGTACTTTCTCTTGCTCAGCTAGCTATGTCAGAGATATGTTTGGTTTTGCTATTGCTGTACTTCAGAGTCATTTCAAACCAAATCTGTCTTCAGACAGAAAAATGGTTCAGTAAACGAAGATACGGACAGAACCTATTTGTCAATCTTAGTATGTAAATAGTAAAGTGTCCTCACTATGAGCGGTAAGAACCCTGTGCCTAAGATAAGGCACTCAGTAATAGAATTCCTATCTATGCAGTGGGGGAATGGAAATTATATCATGAAGAATTCTTCAGAAAGCATGATAGAAACGTCTATCAGTTTTAAACGCTGAAATATAACAGCTCAATTGAATAAAATCCTACTATATTGAGAGGAGTATCCAGTGTAATGTTCTTTTCAAGAATTTCACAGAGAAATTATAGCACTAAAGAAAATAGATATAAACTGTTCAGAAGTATTCTGTGCTTCAGATCCCTGTGCACAGCCAGTCATGTGAGCCATAAAACAGGTGTGGGAGCAAAATCAGTTATAATAAAGCACAAGGCTTGTGTGCATGCGTGTGTGTGTGTGTGCGCGCGCGTGCACGTGGGGCTAGATTGTGACGTGAACGACTTGTGCACGGAGGTGTAAGGAGAATTAATACCTACCACCTCTTATATTCCGCATGGGCTACCTAGACCTTAGGTATGGGAACACAGGAGTAAGCAGATGGGAAAGGAGAGGGCAGGGAGGGTCTGTGAGTGACTGATGCACTGACTGAATTTCCCCCCACACCCAGTGAGCTGGTCAGTGCAGCTGAAATGGCACGGGGTGTGTGTGTGACATAATTTGGAGCTGGTATAGGGCAATGGCAAATAGCTCCCCCATGCACCCACTCGCATAAGATCCCAATCTTCTCACATTAAGTAGTACATTACTCCTTGATTTCAATGAGATTGCATGCATAGTGATGTGTTACATAAAGTGATTAAGGGTGGTAGAATCCGTTCC